CACTCCCCTGTCTCCGCTCTCTCTCATCTCCGCCTATCTCTCCTCCACTACTATCTCCCCCGCATCTCTCGGCTCTCTCTCTCTCTCAATTCTTTCCTCTTACTTCTTCTCCTCTCTCAATGTCAATCTACCTACCTTATCCCCTCTACTCCCACTAATACCCACACATCGCCAGTCGTCCCTCTACTCCCACACTCCTCACATCCCCTCCCCCTACTACACCTATATACACACACCCATATATATCCCTTTTCATTTTCTACTATATTCTATTTACATTTCTCCTTACGTCATATCCTACATTATTGCTTCGGTGCCGTCGTAGGCGCCGGGGAACTTGACGGTTGGGGGAGGGAGTGCCGTTGCCGCCGCCCTCGACCTTGATCTGGGCGCAGCCCATGTAGAACTGGGCGCCGCCGATGGCGCCGGCGGCGTGGAGGGCCGTGTGCTCGGCGCGGACGAGGTACTCGCCGTCAGGGAGCTCCTTGGGCAGGGTGAAGGTGAAGTTGTGGACGCCCTGGTTGTTCACGAAGGTGGCCCACTGGATGCCCTGCTCGTTGATCTCCGAGTAGGTGAGCTCGTAGATCTTGAACCAGTCGCCGTCGCCCTTGTAGTCCTGGGCGGCGCCGGGGGCCTTGCTGAGGTAGACGGCCTGGGGACCGGGGTGGCCGAGCTCCGAGTTGACCTTAAAGCCGAGCTGGTCGCCGGCCTGGACCGTCTTGGTGTTGGTGGCGGCCATGATCGCGGCGTCGATGCCGCCCTGGTTGCATATCATGTTGGGGGAAGTGACATCCTCAATAGGCGAGTTGGAGTTGGTGGTGCGGCGGACGAACTCGTAAGCCTCGCTAGGCGCGCCGTTGACGATGAGGGACTCGAAGTTGTAGTGAGCGAAAGCCGTGGGCACAGTGGCCGCAATGGCGAGAAGGGCAGAGAGCTTGGAGACCATTTTTTTCGAATCTGTTGGTGTTTTTGTCGTGGAGACTTGATGTGTTGTTGGGTATTTGGGTAAAAAGGGGTCAAGAACTTTGTGTGAAGTTTTGAGTCGTTGAAAAGAATGGACTGGATCTACCAGGTATCGTGATGAAGAACGAAAGTTGTTTGAAAAAGAATGTCAAAGCAAAAAAAAGAAGGATGCCAGCAACAGCTGTAGCTAAAGTGAAAGACACTGGATGTTTTTGGTGATGGACAACGAAAGGAGCATAGCCATCATGTCCAGGCGATACTCGCCCGAGTCTTATACCAACACCATTCACAGCAACCAACAGATGCTCAAGGCAAGGCAGGCTATCGCGCCATGCGCCGAAGCCACCTTCATCTCCGTGTTGTGGATAAGGGGTGCAGTGATCGGAGTGGAGAGGTTCAAAGGATGGACCAGGTTGTCGGGCGCATGTCCTGAAACCTGCCAAGGGGGTGATCCTCGAGGGATCTCAGGGGGGCAAGGGGTTTGGGCAGGGGGTTCAGCATTTTCGTATCCAACTGTCCTCCGTCTCGCCATGATCCGGCCAACCACGAATTGACGTTTCGCCGTGACACTCGCTCGTAAGTCCCTGTCAGCATCGATTCCCACGTATCAATTTGAGTGGATGACGAGATGGCATGATAAGCGAAACATAGTTCGGACGACACTCGCCTACCTCAACCGGCCTCACCACGTGCATGCCCCCCCCTCGCCAGGCCTCGCCTCTCCATGCGCCGACATTGCAGCCTCCACGCGCCGCGTTTCATCCATCCCCTTCAGTCGACTGTCCGTAGACGAGAGGCAGGATGGCAGAAGCAAGGCCAGCAGCAAGCAGGGAGACACGAGCTCGGACTTTGTAGATCGCCACAATCGCCAGTGGTCCCGGCCGACAGGGCCAATTTATTCGAGGAAACGCTTTGTCGCTGCCGCTGTCGCCTGGCCCGGATGGTCCGCTCCATCGGCCGGCGCTACGATTAGACGCATAGCTGGACTGAGGTCATCCTTTGCCCGGCCGCTGTGGTCTCTCTGTCTATCCATCTATCACCAACAAGTTGGACGAGGTGTCTTCTGGCCGTGTGCACTTGTTAAAGAAAGAGTGCAACCAGTCACGGCAAAATTGAACCCTATATTCGGAAACAACTTGCCATGACCAGAAGCTTCGTATCTCCACAGCGTTCGCTTCTTTCAAGCCAAGCTGCCATTGCGCGGGAAGCAACCTGGTAAGCGAGACGGCTTGATGACTGCTTGCCCTTGCTTCCCATCACATCCCTTTGCCGATCATTGCCATGCCGCTGCTCATCATAGGATCCGCCCAGGTTCAAGCAGCGGGGACATCATGCTGGTCCGCCATCTTTGGGCCTCACGGCGGCAAATGCGGACACTGCGGACGGGTGGCGCATCTTCATCACGGCGGCAAGGCAGGCCATCTTGGTTTCCGTACCATCGTCAACCATTGTCATTATCATGATCATCGGATCATCAAGCATATCGCAACAAGACAAAAGACGCCCAACGCCTCGCAGGTCTAGAAGATGCTCGCATCTCACATGCAGAATCCAAGCGCTCCAGACAGAAAAACCCAAATCCGCGCACACTCATTTTGAAACACACAGCTTTCCCTCCCCTTCACATCCCACCAGGAGTGAGCCTGCGTCGAGTGTTCGTACTCAGCCGAAAACAAGGCAGCAATCTTTCACCGATCGCCCCTGGTTCCATATCCCTCCTCTTCCTCGCAGATCAGCGGCATCCGCTCCATGTCAGCCTCTGCTTTTTCCTTTTCGTTGTGCAACCCGACTTGGATGGCAACAAAAAGAACGAGAGCGATGCCGAGAACAGTACCGGTCGCGCCCATCATTATGTTCACAGGCACGGGGTTACCATGCAGCGGACCATGGGTCCATGCATCGAGACCCGACTGCGCAAAGCTGATGATGCCGGAGATGCACACCAAAGCGCCATAAATGCGCCCAAACGTGGCGAAGCCGAAGACTTTCGTAGCATAATCACTGACAGTCGTTAGTCTAGGAAGTCACGGAGAAAAGCTTTCCAAACTTACGAAATGGCAGAGTAGTACAGCGGCCTGAAGATGACAAAGGCCACAATCATTGCGTACCCCGCCCATAGCTGGGGAATGCAGTTGAGCACGGCAACAACGATGATCAGCACTGTCAAGATGCCAAACGTGACCGGCACGCTTGCGTTGTTGAGCAAGACGGCAATAAAGGGTGTCGCAGCGACACCGCCAATGGGCAGAGCAGCATCAAAAAAGTGGTTGATCGACTCAGCCAGCACATCAGACCCGAGCATGAAGCGGTACTGGGCACGGATGGTAGCGATGAGGTAGTTCATCCTCAGCATTTGATGCACCGTGAGCAAGAGGATCAAGATGAACCACGGCGTAAGCATCTGCTGATGGGCAGGCAGACCGTGTAGGACACCCCAGACACCACTGGCCTCGAGACGCTCTTCCTTGATCTTGACGCGCTCCTCTCTCACCTCGGCATCACCAGTGAGATCGACAATCGCGTCAAGCTTGGCCCGACGACGCTCCGCACGGATGCTGCGAACGTGGTATCGCTCGCCATCGCTCGTCAGGTCGTCGTCGGAGGTGTGAACGTCTCGAGTGTTGTCCTCAGCACGCTCAATCTTCTCCTCGAGCTCAGGCACCGAGCGGTAAGCATGCTCGGGCATGTATGTGTACTCGGCGACAAGGATCAAGACCGGGACAATGAGGTAACCAAAAAAGAACCTCTCCAGTGAGAAGTTCCCACCAGTGGCATCGTACGCCATGCGGTAGAAGAGGAAGACTGCCGCCGAGGCATCGAAGGCACCTGTGACCAGCGCAACGACCACGCCCGAGTACTGAGGGAAGGCATTGGACAACTGAAAGCTGGGGACGAAGACAAAGGCACCGCCGACGCCGAGACAGAAGTTGCCGAGCAGATAGGCGTCAAACTCGGGGATGTAGAACGAGTACCCCATGAGCACGCAGCCCGTGGCGAAGAAGACAGCGCCAATGTTCCAGCAGAAGCGGCGGCCATAGCGGTCGAGTGCGGCACCGCAGAACAGGGAAGCAACGTTTGTGGTGATGGAGGCAACGACGAAGAAGAGGTTCAGACGGATATCTTGCTCGGCGCAGGGGACGATGACTCCATCGTCTTCCCTGAACGGCTTGTCGTCGGCAGGGCACAGCTCGCTGTACACTCCCTCGGCGATCAAGACGGGCTTGAGGGCGGCGAAGCCGAAGACAATACCAGAGGCAAGCCAGCAGGTGACGATGGCGGTGGCAACTTGGACTACGTGACGTGGGGGAATGCATCAGCACGAGGGTCGAGGTGAGTGTCGGGCAGTAAACATACCGAATCGCTTCAGGTCCGATATCTTGTACGCGGCGAGACGTGGCTCCTTATGCTGAGGAACGGCGAGGAGCGCATCGTGGGGGGCGAATGCATCAAAGCTCAGACGGCGATACTCGGTCCGGCAGGCAATGTCTGCAGCGGACAGGTGCAGGACGTCCTCGTGGGGAACATCAGGCTTCGGGCAAGGCGGTGGTGCCTCGTAGTCAAAGCCTTCAGACTGGGTGACGTGCTGGGCGAGCGACATTAGAGCTGCGAAACGTCTCGTACCTCAGCCGGCCGGATATCTGGCGTTTGACGGTGGCACGCGGAGGAGAAGGAGCCTGGCGACAGTCAAGAGGACCAGCAGCACACGAGCTCAAGCTCGGCTCAGCGCAACGCAGCTGTTGTACAATGTGTCGACGAAGAAGAAAGCCTTGGCGTGAGAGAGCAGAGCAAGAAAGGACGGAAAGCCGAGGAAGGATGGCAGGCCCGGTCAGCTAGTTGTAGGTAAGGTAGGGAAACATCTGCCCCCCCTCCCACGCTGGTGACCCGTCCATGGCATGCCGGCTACGAGTAGGAGGGATGGAGCACATCATCGTGAGATGGCAACATCGACATCCGAGGCGGAGTAGCAGGAGGGGAGGGAAGGGAGGTGTGTAGGCAGGCACGGGAGTCGACGTAAACACCATAATAGTGACAGCAACAGGAGATGAGCTTGTTCCTCCGGGGTGGGATGCGGGTATCGTGACATTCTGGGAGGGCCGGGACATGGCGGTTACGGGGCCCATGCCAGGTTGCGCCTGCCGTGGACGACATCGGACGGTCCAATCCAGCAGGAAAGAGCGAGCACAAGCACCGCACCCGCCTCTGCGGCTGCTCTAGCGCCATTCCACGACGGTCCAGGCTTGCGGGCGAGTGCATCTAGCCAACTGCCCCCCCCCCCCCCCCCCCCCCCCCGGTTCTGGGGGCGCCACGAGACCTTTGTTTTCCCCATGTTTTTCCCCCTTTGGGGGAAAGCCGGCCGGGTTACGACTGCCGCTAAGCTTGTCGAGGGAACGAGGCAGGCAAAGGACAGGCAAGGACCTGGTGAAATCGGTTGCTGCCAGCGAGCGGTAGCGGTAGCGGCGTAGCGCTGGGTTGCTCCCTGGCCAGCCGCACGCTACAGCTGGTCCATGCTCCTCGTACTTGTAAGCCCTGGTTCTTGGTGCCATCGTCCACCCCCATACTGCCTCTCCAGTAATCGCCCCCCGGTTCTTCTCGCGCTGCCCCGGTGTGGGTGAAGTTATCGTGAAGGGTTTAAAAAAAAAAACAATAGCATCCGCTGACTGGCAAACGTTTCCTATCGCAGGCGTGGGAGATGACAACATTGCTCCTCCCCTCCACAATGGTGCTTTTACCTAACCAAGGGGGGAGGATCCCCCCCTCAACACCATGCCTCGTCGAGGCCTGATGACCGTCGTGAGATTGCATTGCCCCTCCCACCCTCCGCATTCAGTTCGACCGTTCAGTCCAGCCAGTCTATTTCCTGCCGGTCGCTGAATGCTGCCATCGGACAAGAAAGCAAATTCCGACAAAACGCCATGGCGATGCAGCGCCATCACCCGTCATGTCGCACAGGATGAGAGACACCAGCACCAACATGGATGGCATGGGACGAAGCATGCAGCAAGCTCGCTGCAAGACAGGGTAGCTCGAGTCCCAACCAAGGTGTGTTGCTGCCCCTCAACGGGCGCTGTCCGACGACGACGATGCTCCGAGCGAAGAAAGAAAGCCATCCCCCCCCCCCCGGGCAAGCTCCAGAGCCAAGGTGGCGCATACATACACATGCACTGCCCTCCTCACCGCCATCTCGTCTCACTTCCTCACACCCTCATCCAGTCTCCCTACTATCCCACCTTCACGATAGCTTCATCCACACCTTTCGCTCAACCCGCGTTCCTTCCGATTGCTCTCTTTTCCCTTTGCTGCCGACATCCTGCCTTCCCTCCCACTCCCCTTCCGTGATCCCATGGCCATCACGCTGTTTGCCTTTCGCATTTTCTCCCCCAACCCCCCACGCACACCGCTCGGTGCTTGCCGCTGCAGAAACCCGCAGATCGGTCAATAAGCATTGCGACTGCATTTTTTTTTTCCGTCAGTCGAAGCCCCAGCGTGACCATGCCGTGGATATCGCAGACTCGAAATCCCCCATTGCCGCTTTGATTGATGAATCGAGCCCCCGATCGTTGTGCCGTGGATCTCGTTATTCCGCATTCGTTGCCGACGTGACCAGGACTGGGCTGCTTTGCTAGCCACCATCCGCCGTGTCCGCTTCACATGTTTTTTTGATTGAGAACCGCTCTGCCCGCCCCGTCAACGCAAGTCGTGCCCGCGCAGCTGGCGTGTTGATGCTCCAACCCCCACCGTCGCGTTGGGTTGCGACCACCCCACGATCCTCCAACCCAGCTACGATGTTCTCCTCCCGTGGGCCGTTGGCTGGCTACTCCCATAACCACGCGTCAGAAACTTTCCCACCCGCCCGCACCATCTGTGCTGGAATGCCGAAACACCGCGAAATCCACAAGCTCGCATGGCGAGTGTGGGCTGCGGCAGCCGTAGCGTAGCCTCCAAGGTTTCTCGATGAAATGCAGACCGCTCGCTCTCCAACAAACCAGTTCTTGCCATCAGCGTCTGCCAGGGGGCGCGCCCCAGCAATCCTCCATCACCTAGAAAGCCTCACTCTCCTCCCCTAGAGCCCCTCCGTGAATTCACCAAACAGTCATCGAAGATGATCGCTTGTAATGAGGGGCATCTCAAGAAGAGGCATTCGCCGTGATACGTGTCACTCTAGGTACGCCATCTACCTCCGACTCGCCGTGCATATTGGTTCACGCAAACCACATCACAAGAGTTCACGGTGGCAAAACAAGTTTCAGATTGTACAGCTAGCTGGCAAGTTGGCTGGATAATCGTCGTCTTCCTTCTGGTTGCATGGCTCAAACCGGGGAAGCGGAGCCGCTCGCGAGCAGTGGGTGCAGCTCGACGATAGAGGTGGTGTGCTACTCGGGTTGCGAGAGGCTTATGGCTGGCGGCACAGTTGCCACCGGAGGCTGAAGTGGGCAGCCGGTACTGGAGATAGGCGATGATCTGGTAGTTGGCATGGATGTCAGGGAAGCGGGATCGGCTTCCTTACCCTTTTGCATCCCCTCCGTCGACCGGTGAGAACCATTGTCTCGGGAGCTGCAACGAGGCTGCTCTGTGTAATGATGCAGTCCTCGCTACAAGCTCGGAGCACTTGCTCTTTCTTCTGCAAGCAGCTGCACCTGGATCGTGCCGCGCCGTCATGAGCGGCAATGTGTACAGAGGTTACGACGTTGTCCTCTGGCCACCGCCCGTGTTCTATTGCAGCGTTGGCGAAATGGGTCGCTCCACTGGCGATCTGCTTCGCGGCAGGTGTGAACCTTGTTCATCATTTACCCTCACTGCCGCGTAAACAAGATCATGGCTGTCATAGGCGCTCGGCATCCTGCCTAGCAATGAGGGCATGGGAGCGAGAGTACGCTCACAGTCTTAGGCGATGCCGGATTGTTGTCATGAGCAAAGGATCGACTTGGTGACGACGAACAGAGCCTTGAATAGCCTGCATTGCCTGCCTCCTAATCGGGAGTGGACAGTGGGACCAAGAGATGTGTTACACAGCAGACTGCAGCTCACAGCTCACGTCTTGCATGGTTCCATGCTGGACTGGGTACCGCAATGGGCAGTTCAATGCCTGCTATTGATTGCAATGGTCAGCGCAGGCCAAAACAAGAGGGGCGACCAGCGGGGGAGACATCGGCCTTCACGCTGGTGCATCGAAGCGTGAGCTTTGGACCCTAATTCCGTCACTTTTCCCCTGCGTCTGCCGTTGTGTGTGTGTGTGACCTGCATCCAATAGCGTCCGTCGATAGGCTGAATGGCGTGTCGTATGTGCACATGGCCTTTGAAGATGCGACGAAGAAGCCAGTGGTATTCGCGGAGGTTGCCAGCCTCCTGCTTGTCTAAGCTGATGGATCACGCCGTTATGTTGAATGGTGCCGGCTGTCGCTCTAAGGCACGGCCAGCGCCTCGTCCAGCGCCTCGTCCAGCGCGAACCTGTACTGATGCCCTACCTGACGGGTAAGTTCAGGAGGCTCTCAAATGGGCCTCGGGTCCCCTCTTTGGGCTGCCCAATGGCCCCGTATACCCGAAGTGTCGTGTCCGTGATGCAAGGGGTCCAAAAACGGGGCGATCAATCACGGGGACTGGTGATGAGAACGACGCGATTGACGGTTCCTCACCAACTGCACTCTTCACTCGCTGAACCGACAGGAACACCCGCCGGTTGGCCCCGCAGAAATCCGTCGTGAGGTCATTCAGCGGGTGGTCCCAATGCCAGCGAGGGTTTCCAAGCTTTTTTCTTTCTTTCCCTTGTCTTTTCGATGCGGCGTCCTCGCTCGACGTTGATATCTTTCCCCGCCATTCGCACCCCTTTGTCGATGACCCCGCGTTCATGGTCGGCCATCACCTGTCGACGCGTCGCTGACTCGACCACTCAAAACCATACCTGAGATGACCAGAATGGTCGCCGAACCCACGGCCAGACGTTGAAATATATCGGGAAAAAACAGAGAGGCCCTGGACCTTCAATTGCGTAGCCGTGTCGGACTGTTAGCAAAAAAAAAATCAAGACATACTACCTCTGGCAGTGCGAGACCTAAGGGAAATACGGACGAGCGCAGCCACCCGTCATGACGTCGGCCACGTGGCCAGCTCCTGACCTGGACGACCTGGCACAGGCCCCAGAGCCTCTGGCGAGGGCAATACTACTGGCTTTGTGCGACGACGAACAGGTAGAGGCAAGAGCCCTGCGTTACTATGAGCGACTTCTGCAGTTCGAGGCGGACGCGGCACAGGGTGCTGGTAACGGCGCTGGAACGCCAGCCGTCGGCGATGAGGTTCGGAGCCCAACGGAATCGAATCCAAAGAAACGCAAGAAGAAGACCGGCGATCCCCGGATATGTGTGCAATGTGACTGCGTCTTCGTCGAGGAGGAGAACGGGTACGAGAGCTGCCGGTACCACGCAGGTAAGAACGCGTCCTCGCGCCGCCGTATCTCATCGTTTGCCGTCAATGCCGCGGCGGTGAAGATTGGCATAGAGCTGTTGCTGACCAGACGCAAAAGGCATCATTGAGCTGTTCGACGAGACGAAGGTCGATCTCGACTGGGAGGAGTACTCGCTGGAGCACCTGGACACCCCTTCCAAT